GTTGACTTCGGGCTTCACAGAGGGGAGGAACATCAAAGTCGCGAAAAGTGGAGAGGAGGAACATAAGATTAATTTAATGATGTAAAAGAGGCAGATAGACACCAAGTCAGAGAAAAGGTAAGATGAGTATTGTTAAAGCGATCGAGTGTGGCATACAATGAGGTCATGGTAGTTTAAATTCAGATTCAACTGCCAGTTTATAGACTTTTCCGTATGGGTATACATTGCCCAGGATGCACCAAAAGGAGGTAAGTCTATCGCACACCCCTCCTTTTATATTTTAACGTGAGTCTTTTTTGGTAAGGTTATCCGGCCATGTCCAACCCTGGTGTCCTATTACAATCATGTTTTATTGACTATTTCACGTATCCTATTCGGAATAATGATGACCTCAAATCAGAACTGTCGATTCTCAACCTTCATTAGTCGCTTTTTTCACTCATTCAGATGTTAGACTTGAGTTGAAATTCCTCATAGCAAACTTCCAGTATTCACTTAGGCGGTTTTCAGAAATCGTTTTCTGATTGTTCACTTACGGTATCGTACGCCTTTCATCTTTATTGCTTGAAAAAATATGCAGTTATTATTTCAAGTGTAAGGCCACTTTCTTTTGTTTGAAGTGCCTAATATGTTAAGATATTTTTTGAATATATAATTTTTAAGGAAATTTTTGTACAACCTATTTGTCATCTCGGAATAAGACATCAATTTAAACCTTCTCCTCAATCGGCTAATTTTCCCCATAATGGTGTCTATTTGCCTATCTTGTCTGCTTTCGATGTTATTTTTGTTTGAGCATACTTTTACCTATATTTGATAATTTAAGTTTTGAATATTTCCCTATTTTTCAAATTGCATAAAATCAGATGTCGCTGCCATAATATTGCTCCAAGTGTAGAGTCCATCTGCGAATTTTTGTTCATGCTTTCTCTCTTTTGCTACTTGAATTTGTTTATGTTCAGTTGTTGAAAGCGTGAAATAATTAAATGAATCTTTAAAATTACCCTTATTTTCTTTCAGGATTTGCTGGATCCTGATCTTCCAGGTCAAGTAGACGTTTTGGCCAAGGTGACGGGTGAAGAACTCCTTGGCTTGTGTCTGAAAGCTCCACTGAGTGTCTACAAGGATGGTATTTTCGCCCTTCCTATGCTCTCCATCTCTGCTAACAAGGGCACAGGTATTGTCAGTAGCGTTCCCTCTGACTCACCCGATGACTTCGCCACACTTCGAGATCTACAGAACAAGAAGGGATTTCGTGAGAAGTATGGCATTACTGATTATATGGTTCTTCCTTTTCAACCCGTTGAGACTGTCGAAACTCCGGGATTGGGTCGACTCGCCGCGCCCAAAGCTGTGGAGGATATGAAAATTGGTAGCCAAAACGATCGCGAAAAGCTGCAGGAAGCCAAGAACCTCGTCTACAAGCTTGGTTTCTATGATGGTATTTTGTTAAAGGGTCCGTATTCTGGACAAAAGGTCCAAAATGCGAAGAAACTTATCCACCAGGATCTCATCAAATCGGTAAGTAGGCAAATTTAGTTTCATTATTTTTCAATTAAAATTGAGGTGTTAGAAGATCAACGGAATGACTGCTAATTAACATTTCGGAAATCAATTTGAGATGTGAATTTATTACTTTACTTTTTAGTTTATTTTGTGCTTGTCATTATCTTTGGAGAATCATCTTAACCAGCCACGATTTTATTTATTTAATCCATTCCAACTATACTACTTTCGGGGTAGGATTTGGTCATGATGTATATAGCTCTTAATACGAGATTTTTTCCACGGGGAGTCTGGGCATTTACTATTTATCCAATTTCGCGTTAAAAAGTAGCTTGCCTCTGCTATCTTCGGTATTGGAACTGGAGAACCTTATTTTACCAGCATATTCCTGCAATTGACCCTGCAACCCTAAAAGTAAGAATGAGCCGCCACCCCCTAATCCTTCAAACCTGATCAGTGGGACTTTACGTTCAACCGTACCTACAATAGCTCTAACTGCAACCGAGGCCTAATTTACCCTTCTCATCCCCACTCCACTTAGTTGCTAGCCTTTTTTAAACTCCTCTATCCCCATTAGCACGCATTTTGACTTAGATTCCTATACATATTCATTCGACATACTCCGAGTTTCTTCCTTTACATCCATATCTGTTATTTTTTAGAATGAAGCCATGATTTACTACGAACCGGAGAAACAAGTTGTGACGCGTAGTGGAGATGAGGCTGTAGTCTCACTCTGCAACCAATGGTACCTCGACTATGGTGACAAAGAGTGGAAAGACCGGACTAGGGAAGCCCTTGATAAGCTAAATATTGTAGATGAAGTTAGTTGGATCCTCTCTAGTTTTCGTTCTGCTTTCTAAAAATAGTTTTAACCTATTTTTTTTTCACCACAGGCTCGCAACAACATTGACGCCACATTTAACTGGTTGCAGGAACATGCTTGTTCAAGAACCTACGGCCTTGGAACACGTCTTCCTTGGGATGAGACCTGGCTCATTGAATCTCTCTCAGACTCGACAATCTATATGGCTTACCAGACTATTGCTCATCTCCTACATTCAAACATGGAGGGAACTGCATGTGGACCTCTTAACATCTAGTAAGTGAATTTATGTTATTTGGTTTACTAACATTAAATGAATTGTAGAGCTTATCTCCGTCTAATTATTGTCTGATGATAGGCTATTCTTAATGTTACGTGATGTCTAAATTATTGTTTGTTGCTACATATACTGAATAAACGGTAATATTTTCTTTTGTCACAATTAGAGCCTCGTTTTAATGTTATTAAAGTCCTTTAACGCAGTTGTGATTTAGTAGGTATTGTGCGTCTGTAACGATGCGGTTAACAACCACGTCCCTGCTAATCTGGAAGCTATGGATTAGTTAATTCGTTTAAAAAAAGAAATAAACTCCAACTATCAATAGACGATTATTTGAGTAAGAATGTCTTATTTTGAGCACATTTGGAAAACGATTTTGGAATTATACATATCAAATTTTAAGCCCATGTAAGTGGAATAATTGGTAAATTGCTACTCACAATTATTTTTCACTATTTTTAAGCACCAACAGACCGATCCGGTTGTTTGATTAATTGATTTGTAGGTATGACTAACTTCCCCTCTCTTGGGCGGTGTCTATATTTTTTCGAATTAATTGTAACTGATATAATATGAAATATGTCTGGGTCTTTTGTATGCTTTTTCCAATATTCCTCAAATGTCATTTTCAAAGGCAAATACTTCTAATTTTGACCACTTGCAAATGGTCCCTGCACTTAGCTAACAATTTATGATCCAGATTATAATGTGAACAAGTTCTTTCCTCACATATTTTTTGTCAGCCCCGAGCACATGACCCCAGCGGTCTGGGATTACATCTTCTTGGGAAAAGGCGATCCAGTCAAACTGGCGACTGAGCGCTTCACTTCGGTCACGGTGGATTCTCTCAATATTCTTCGGAGGGAATTCCTTTGTTGGTATCCTGTTGATCTACACGTCAGTGGAAAGGACCTGCTGCCGAACCATCTCACGTACTATCTCTACAACCACGTTGCTATGTGGCCTGATGAGCCTCAACTTTGGCCCAAGGCTATCCGTACCAATGGTTTGCTCCTTTTGAACTCTGAAAAGGTCTGTTTAGCCTTCCTTATCGCCAGGTCGTGATCTTCTAATTCTTTCCTTCATTTTGTGTAGATGTCAAAATCATCCGGAAACTTCTTGACTCTCAATGATGCCATTGACAAGTATGCTTCTGACGGTAGGTAATAAACTTATGCCCAATTCGTCTAATTGAATCGCGTTTTATAAGGCATACATATATTGGTTCTTCAACATGCTTTAAGTCTGCATTATTAGTTTGAGAAGGTGCAATCTGCGTTGTTGTGCTTTCACCCAGTTTTCAGTCTGGGTCAAATATATTTCTCCTTCAAATGGTCAGTTCATTATTTAAGCACTGAATTCTATTAAAAATTATCTTGGAAATGGTCCCTGTTTATACTATTTTTTTCAACTATTGCTGTTGCCTCAAGGTAACAAATGAGCTGGCATGGGAGTCCTAAATTTAATATCAACTTTTGTCCTTGTTTCTTTCTGTAAATAAAAAGGGTGAATATATTAGTGAAGTCTCCATTTTTGTGTCTTTTAGGATTGCGATTGGCTCTTGCTGATGCCGGTGATACACTGGAGGACGCGAATATGGACGAATCGATGGCAGAAGCCGGTCTCTTGAGACTTTATGCCCTCTATGAATGGATCTGTACAACTATTCAGGCTTTGGAAAATCCCGAAGCCTCTGGTTTCAGAACAGGAGTCGCAGACCTACATGCTGACAAGGTTTTTGAAAAGTAGGTTTTCTTTTTTAATTTCCTAAATATTATTTTAAAATTGTACTACCTTGCTAAAAGCAAAAATGTTTATGATAGATATGACCTTTTTGAGCTCATTTTATTATAGTGATCTACGTCGCACAGTCGCCAATGCTGACGATTGTTACACTGCTCAAAACTACAAAGATGCTCTCAGAGTTGTCTTCTACGAGTTTATTGTATGTTTCCATTTTCGATTATTTGCTCCCCTAAATGGTCGACGAAAATTCTGTTAGTAACCATTTTTCCCTTTTAGGCCTGCAAAGATCGCTATCGAGAGGTCTGCCAAAAGCATGGAATGCATGCCGATCTTGTTAGAAGATACATTGAACTTCAAACTATCCTCCTGTCTCCAATCTGCTCTCACATTTGCGAACACATCTGGCGTAGTCTCAATCACAAAGAGAGCATTTTCAAGGGCACATGGCCTTCCAAAGTCGACGCGGTCGATCAGAAGATTCTTTTAGAAGGTGAGCCAGGCATTTTGACATTCATAGCCATTCTTCGATACATATTGGATTTATTTTAATATGTCTGTTCAATTTTCTTCAGGTCGCTACTTGGACGATGCAGCTCGTGCTTTCCGTTTGCAGCTCAAACAAGCTCTAGCAGTAAAGGTCCCAAAAGCCAAAGCTGCCATTACTGTTGATGCTAGAAACACCAAGTTGAAAGCACCTAAACAGCCCACAAATGCCACAATATGGATAGCAAAGTCCTATCCAACCTGGCAGGTGAGTTGTCATATGCACTAAATTAGTGTTTTTTTATAAGTAGTTTTTGCTTTTCAAGCTATAATCTCTCTATAGGCAACAATTCTGAACACACTAAAATCCCTCCTGAATGAATCCGGTGAGCTACCCGACAATGGAACTATCTCACAGGCTCTGCAGCCCCATATGAAATCTATGGGCAAACAGGCCAAAGGTGCAATGTCCTTTGTTCAGCTCCTCCGTGAACGCTTCCAAACCAACGGAAAAAGTGCCTTGGATGCTGTACCTGAACTTGATGAAGAGGGCGTTTTGCGAGCAAATGCTGAATATCTCATTGCTACTCTCGGTTTGGACATCGATGGGTTGGAGGTTAGTTACGAAATTTGGCATAATCCAAGTCATTAGGGGAAATTCCACTAAACTCGTGTAACTGCTACTTCCTCGTAGATATGTGATTCCTCAAAGTCAGACGATGTGAGAATTAAAGAGACCGTTTCCCCTCTGAAACCCACAATTGTGTTTCAAAATCAGAAACCCAGTGTTGCCGTGAAAGCTGCCAATCCTGTTGTGGGTTCAGGTCTCTTCTCAGTGAATTCTCTTGCTATTCACGACGGCGATACTGTGGATCGGGTTGCCAAGCGACTCCTCAAGATTTGCCGTTCAACCATGGTGGCTGCGGAAGGTGAATTAATACTTATCGATTATTTACAATCGTTTTGCGGTTTGATATCCGTTTATTAATATCAGAAACAGAACTCACTATGCTAATCGAGCAAGCAGATGCATATCTATGACAGAGGGAGTAGGAAGATTTCATGAAATTCTGATTAATTTCTTCTCTTCTCCGAATGCTTGCTCTTTTTCTAAAGTCGTTCGTGGATGCTCGCAGTGTTTCCATGTTTCAGCACTTTGGTTGTTGTTTCTCAATAGTCTTCGCCATTTATAAAAGCTAAAAGGCGTGCATTCGGTTCTGAAAGACCTTGTTGATAGCAACACCTGAGAAACAATGATCTTGTCGTTAGTAGGGGCATTGCTTTCACTTATACTAACTTTTGCTCCACTATCATTTTCGCTGTATTAAGAAATTTCTAAAGTTTGGCTTTTGCTTGTTATCAATATTTGGCGATATTTCGTTAAGGAAACTATTGAGAACTCTGCTGGCTATTCGTTTAATTCTCAAATATATCCGAATATCTACTTTCATATATTTTTTTCTTTCTTTCAGCCGTTGACGCCGTTGAGCTTTATCGCTTCGTTGAGCCTATGAAGGATGCTAAAATCTTGCCTCCAATTCCACTGGAGCGTTTATCGAAGCTCAGTCCCACTGAAAATTTCGTTGTGGATGTAGACAGCGGCACGATCAGTCTTTCTGCACCCGGTGGTCTTGTGAAAATCGGTGATAGGATAATCTACACTGACATCAAGCATCCTCTGATCTGAGGGTGCCTTTTTGGGGGCAAAAGCGCCTGTGAAATATCTCACTTGACGTTTGCTGGTAATATATCAGAACCACGTCATTGTTATATATGAAAAGATATTGGTTACTAAGCAAATTTCTTCATGTACACTTCCTAAACTTAATATTAATGGATCTCGAATTGGGGTAGTTACTAAAGACCATATAGGATGTTTATTACTACATTTAAATTGCAGACGATGTTTAAAGGTTAAGCTATGACGTGCAATTGTTTTCAGAGGGTTTTTTATCATTCTTCTTTAGGAAATATTATAAGCTGTACTGGACCCCCACCACAAGTGGTACTGAATCATATTTGCATGTGGTTTATTGGAGAGAATTGTTTGTGTTTGATTTTTATATCCATCCAAGATTCATGACTCGCAGAGATTAATGAATGTTGAGCACAAACCGAATTTTATTGTCTCCTCACAAATTCAGGGAATAAAAGCAAGGGCCTCGCTATGAGTTGTGTCGTCGGTTCTTTTGCAAATGCCACCATGCTATCTCAACTGCAAATGCGTGTACTTAACGAGGAAGAGTTTCCGAATTAGGGTTTGTGTTTAAAATCAAAATAAAGGTTAATCCTAGTGTCCGTTGTAATTTCCCGATTTCACTAGCCTTAAACTAAATTTAAGATGAATTAAATATCCCCTAATAAAATCAAAGATCTTCCTATGAATAACAGGAAACAGTGGGCTTTGGTGAACGAGGGCAGTTAAGAATGAATAATTGAGGAAGTAGGAGGAAATCGAATACCAGATGAAGGTTTAAGCGACGAGAGGGGGCACATTGGTTGATTATAGGCGGACTGGGTTGGGCTATTCTTCGTGAGTCATTATCACCATTTACCAATTAGATACGAGTCTGAACAGGTGCATTAGAGGGAATCTGATAGAAATGAATACGGTTAGAATGCCTTCCTCATCATTTTCTTTTTAAATTTAAATGCGGCATTCAAATAATGATGACGTGAGAAAATGGTGTCGATTTTGTGAAGATATTTGACCGGGTAACGGTGCTGGTTGTCTAGTCTCAATGCCATAAGTATTAGTATGTATCCCTGATAAACTTGGGCATGATACGTTTTAATAAACTTGATGAATTATGCCATTGAAAGTATTTAATTTCCGTTCTAAATATTTAATTTAACAGACTAAGTATACTCAAAGTTCAAAATGTTACTGTTAATCTTCCAAGTGGGATATCATCTCAACTTTTACGGATTAAATATCTATTTAAAATAATTTTTAGGGTTTCTTATGAAATGGCTACTTTTGAATGTTTCATCTCAGATAACCTTTTTAAGCATTATTCTGGCAACACAAAAACACAGTTCGGGTTTAGTCCTATCATATCCCGAAATTCATTAAAAATGTAATTTCTTGGTGATCATTGCACCCGCTAAAATTTTGCTGCCTGAAAACAAAAGTAGATAAATATCCGATATCAATAGAAGTTATATTGTAGGGTTATCAAGCTGCGTATGCTTTCAGTACAAAGTACTATAAAGACTGATCAGAGGATCCATGAGCTTACTAATCAGTTCCAAGTAGTGTTAAGTGCATTTAACCGTTGGTCATGTTTTGCTGTTCGTCATATTCACAATGGGTATATTTCGACATACCTAATTAGACAGAAACATTATCTGGTGCTATGAAACAAGTCTATCTAAGCGTGCGATTTTCAGAGCTCATGTTGCCCTGAGAGTTGCGGGTTTCGACCTTTACCATTCAAGACTTGACCAATGTGGCTTACTATTCTACTCGCTACCTTTCACTGATGGGAATTGAACCTGTAACCACTGGCATGCAGACGTACAAGGCCATGATTCGCTTTTAGTTTGTAAATAAATCATTAAATCTTTAGATTCAAATGTAAGTCCATATGCTAAGTTAACGAGGGATATAATCACGAGAAGTGTCGGTGGATTCGATGTTGACTCAAATCAGCAATGGGAGATCTTCACTAGGTGCATTTTTGGATGATTACAAGCTTAGGAAAAGGAAATTGGAATATCTTCGAAGGTGGGCATGTTGAAGAAAAGAGCAATTTACTGTGTGCTGCCGCTTCAGGTGATAATGGTGGAACGTGTTGGGGCGATTGTCTTCTAGAACTTCCTTCTCAAAAGAAGTCTTTACGCCATTTTCTCGTGATCTTCCTATGAATCGTTAATAAAATTGTAGTACGATTAGTGAAGTGGAATCCCATGGTGATAAAAGAAAAATTAACATAGATTTCTTATGAGAGAAGTTCAAAATAACTTTATTTATTTATATCAAATGGCAGGCGTCTTGATGGTTGTCATTAGCCATTTAGTTGACTTCAGGCTTCACAGAGGGGAAGGTACATGAAATTGAAACAAGTCAAGAGGGGGGGGGGCGTGAACAGAGGAGTGTTTCAAAGATTTGAGAGACAAACACAAAGGTGAGGTGAATACTCTGGAAATAGTCGAATATGGCATAGAGTGAGGTGATGGTAGTTAGAAGTGAGAAGTCAACTGCTAGTTAATAGACTTTTTTGCCGTATGAATATACGTTGCCCAGGGTGCACCACGTGGAGGTAAGTCTATCGCACACCCCAGTTCGAAATAACTTACCTTTGATATATTTTATGAGTTATTCCAACTTTCAATTTTCCCCAAGTAGGGATGATATTCTCAACGCAAAAACCCATAAGTTGCAAAGAATTGTATTTTTAAATGTGTAGCGGATTGCTACACTAGTAAAGCCTTGACTGACTCATAAATCTCTGGCAGATTCTTCTACATCTTGCTAGCCTCCCAGAACTAGCTAAGCTATAGCCCAGCTGTAGAGGCAACAGACGTATAGCACGGAGCACGTTATCTAGTTAGGGAATTAGTTTAAACGAAACTTTCGGACTCACAGTCAGCAATAAAGTCAATTGGATGCGGAGGGCCACCCAAAACAGCTGAGATAAAGGAATGTAGAAAACTCTATCAGCTTCTGAGAGAGAAAAACAAAACAGTGGTCCTACAATTGATTCCTGGTCACTGTGGCATTAAAGGCAATGAGCTTGCTGACACACTTGCTAAGAAGGGGACAACGATTTTGCAATGCATGGACCGACCGATGTCTTTCCACACAATGAAGACCTTAATCAGGAGAGAATTCCAGACCTCAAGGTGCAACGAACTTAAGCTCGAACAAAGGAGAAACCGTGGACAGTGGCACTCTCCGACATACCCGACTGGCCAAGAATCGAAGCCGTTGCTGTGTTTAGACTACGTACCGAACACGATTGCCTGGCAAAACACCTCAACAGATTGGGAGTATACACTCAACCCACATGCCCATATGTAACCTACATGAGGAAATGGAGAAGACCCATCTGATTCGGTTTCCAGGCCTAAGGACAACGACGGAAAGCTAGAGATACTGGGAAGCAAGAAGACAGCTAATGAACTGCTATTAATTAACTGCTATAAATGTACCCCCCACCCATGGGGGAAGCTGAAGTCAAAGTTTAAGGGCTAATGATAAATATCATAAAGCCTCCCATTTGAAATAAATAAATAGTTTAAGTGAGCGGAGGCTTCTGATTGGCCACCGGTTGTACTGCGCACCTCCCAATACTGGCGTACTTGTGTGCATGAGATGACGTGCCCACAAATGTGATGTGGAAATCAACAGATCTTTTCAGTTTGGTCGTCGCATTCTTCATGATGGCAAATTTTTACCAGATTAATTATATGGTTTGAAATAAGTAGCATAATTAATAAACAAATCAACTTATCCGTTTTTTATTTCGCGTCCATATCTTAATTTTCGCTTCTATGGTTGGTCACTTTAAAAAATTGAATTTAAGGAAAGTCGTGAGAATAACTGGAATAAAGTAACAGGCTTAATGACTAATACATAATCGTTTCATCTTCCATTTCTAATTAGTTTATTGGGAAGTTAAGTAATTATATGAGCAATATAATTTCGTTAAAAATTTCATAATGCCGTGGAGAAATATTGCTTTAGTTATAAACGATTTATTCCCTTCAACTTTTAGAATCACAAATAATTAAATCCAAAAGTGTCAATAATTACTCGAGCAATGTCAACAAAACCCCAAAGGGGTTTGCATTTTTAAATTGTACAAATATCTCCCTTAGCTCATCCAGATTTTCCAGCCCCATCTTAAAAAGGCTTGCTGTTTTCAATTAAGTTACCACTTCATGTGGTTTTTGACTCTACTCCCATTTCGAAATCGTTTTCCTCTTAGACAATATTTCATTGGGCCAGGTTTGGCGTGCATTAACTTTATTTCTGAATTTTTCGGGGAGGTGGAGGGGGGGGGTTATTCTTCCTTTATTTGGCTGGAAATTGCTATTCCGAAGAGTCAACCGCTCTATGCAAATAAATTTGAAAGTTTAGCTTAATTAGTTATATCAAATGTCAGGCTTTATGCTAGTTATCATTAGATCTTTAGCTGACTTCGAGCTTCACAGTGGGGAGGAACATCAAAATCACAAAAAGTGAGGGGGGAGGGAGCAGAAGAGTGATTCACAGATACAAAAGAGGTAGACACAGAGGTAGAGAAAATCGTAAGGTAAGTAGTGGAATTTGATATACGGACGGATCATGGTAATTTAAAGTCAGAAATCAACTGCCGGTCTGAAGACTTTTTTGTCATATATGTATACATAGCCCATGATGCCCCACATGAAAGTTAGTCTATCGCGCACTCCATGCTTAGCTTATAATTTCTAGCTTTTTCTTCGGATTGCTGAGAAAGATATATTGCGTCTGTAATGGATTACTTCGCGTACTTTCTACCAATTGTATGAAATTGTACGAAGCGCTAATCTTGGCTCAGCTTTGGGTATGGAATGGCTATGTGATATGGTGACAGAAATAATAATAATAATTTATTATTTTATTAAATGGCAGGTGTTTTGATGGTTATCGCTTGCCCTTTAGTTGACTTCAGGCTTCACAGAGGGGAAGGAACATCAAAGCGAAAAAAGTCGAGAGGGGGGGGGGAAAGAAGAGTGTTTCAATGACGAAGGTAGAAAATGTAGAAAATGGTGATGTGAGTACTGTGGAAGTAGTCGAATATGAAATACAGTGAGGTCATGCCAATTTGAAGTCAGAAGTCAACTGCCAGTGTGTAGACTTTTTCGCCGCATGAGTATATATTTCCCAGGGTGCACCACGTGGAGGTAAGTCTATCGCACACTCCTTAATAATCATAATTTGATATAAAAAACTCATATTTTCACAAGAAAACAAAGAAATTAACTACCTCCTTCGGTTATTTCGTTACACTGTGAGAATCGATGCGGCACCGAAATTCCTCCCTTGTTTAACCTATCCATGGGTTTTAAGTATAAATGTAAAATTGATCATGGAAATAAGAGTTTCTGAGATATTGATAGATGATGGGGGATCTGATTCAACAGGGAATTTTAATAGGCCGACATCAAAACTTGTAGCTCCTCCTGGATCTAATGAGTCACTAAAGTTCCCATTGTTCGATTTAAATTCCTCAAACCAGAATTGACGTCAGCCCTTGATCATAGATTTCAGTAGTAGCTTTAGTAGCCTTGCAGGCATTCAAGAACTGATAAAGGAAAAGCGGAATACGAAAAGGACATGGTCTTTTACCCTTTGCAATAAAAGTAAACTTATTGCTCATAAATATTGTTGAATAATTCGAATGCAATGATACAAATTTACAGAGTTATTTCCTAAATGTACCTGGGCAAAAACTCAACACAAACACGCGTTTGTAAAATACGCGATTTCTTAGTAGTACCCTTAATGGTGGCTTTCTATATCCACGTTAAAAGCCAATCATTTAAGACTACATGCCCACTGCTGATTGGCTGCTTGCACTACATTGCTGATAGGCCACTTTCTGATGCTGTTTACGTTGGCCTCTTTGCATTTAGTCTGTTTGGCTGAGGAAGGTATAAAGACATTATTTCTCAACCATACACTCCCATGCTGACTGAAAAGAGGGTCCCGAATAGACCAAATGTGAGAATAATTCTGATTTCGAAATCGGATCTTGGATCTGGAAATTTCACAACAATGCAGAGGATTAAAAAGGGAATAAATGACCTAAAAGAACAGGATATCTGTGTTTTCCAAATGGGTCTGGAAACTAAATCCATTAACGAGAGATTATCAGAAACAAATTGGAATGGCTTAACAATCCTAATTGGACTAAATATTGATCGCACTGCTTTTCTATCATCGTGTAAGCTATTACAATTTGAAGTTTGACAAAATTATTAACTTAATTAAGCTCAACGACTTTTGATTCGTTTGCAATGCTGATCTCATTATTTTATTATTATACAAGGGAAAGCTCTATTTTTGCTCTAATGTAAATGAGAGGCACTTGTTTGCTAATGAAACAGCGCAGTTAAGACCTGCGGGGCCAATCAAAATTAATATCTTACTCATTCCATTGATGTACATTAAAAAATAAAGATTATTCGTTTCCCTCGAAAATGTTTCACACTGGCACTAAGTAGTGGCGTTCTAAATATTAGTATTAGCTAAACAATATACCAGAATTGTATCTTTATAATTAATTATTACTCTAATTCATTTATTCACGATTGGCACATCGATTTTACTCGATTTTTTACATTTTTGGGTTTTTTGCCTTTTCGTTTTTTGTTTTGATATGTGACAACTGTATTTTAAGTTATAGCGGTACATTCAATTAACAGTCAGTTTAGTTAACTTCCTACCATGAAAACTGATTGAAAATGTGAAGCAGAGCTTTTTAACTCGGAAACACTAAATACAGAATGCGTTCTGAGACATCTTCCTTCTATTTCAAGACGTTAATTTATACCTTGAATTCGTGGTATTTAGTTCTGCGGTTTCACCACTGACGTTTGAGTAATTTTACGGTCAACAACCATGTACGACAGTAAAAAGATATTTTTTCTCTCTGGTCATCATTCACATAGCCCACCATTTCCTAGAAAATAAGTGGCAAAGAAGCAATAGCTGTACTAACGTTGTTATTTTAGATGTTTCAAGCAACACCAAACTCGTATTTATTTGCGGTGGTACAGATGTCAACGAGAGTGTTAAAAATCCAACTAAACTTCAGAGAATGTCTGAAGCGATCACAAGAAGCAGGTTAGTGAGCTCATTTTGAAATACCAATACTTCATGCTCCTATGTTCCATCCAAATTTAGTGCTACTGTGGCCTTTGGCGTTTCCCTAAAAAAACAATTTCTGTCCTTCTGGGTAATTTGAAGCGAATATTTGTCTAAGTGTTCTCTCATCTTTGTTCCTTCATTCTAAAAGTCATCATATTATTTTAGCCGGAGTATAAAGGTCTTCTTCGAATCATCCCTCAAAGTATGTTACAATTGCGCTTCTTTGATATTCAGCCGCTTGTGTTATCGAACCAACTCAAATTCACTGCAAGTCAGTTATATCCTCATTGGAATCAAAATTGGCTGTTACTCTTGAGAGCTTCATTCTTTTCGCGGGTAGATTAAGGCCCATAAAGGATCCAGCATATTCCTTAAAACCTTTTTTAAGTATGCTTTGTTTAAATCTGTAGAATTTTCCTTAAGGACTAGCGGAAGACCGACGTGATCTGCATTTACAGCTTCTCTTTGTTGGCTCAGTTGTGAGTGGGTCTTACTTTGTCGTAAACAAACTATTTCTAGGAAGAGTACTGTGAGGAAATCCAAAATTTCCTACTAGAAGTCAAACGGTAAATTTTTTATAAAATAATTGCCTTTTCCCACAAGATATGATTCAGTTCAATGGGTTGAGTCCATTCCGCAATCAGATCTCCATGCTCTGATGGCATCAGCTATTTGCTTAATCAACTCGTCTCTCAGTGAAGGACAAGCTCTGAGTATCATTGAGGTAAAATAATCTTCCCTTTCACTCTTCATTTGTCTTTAGGCTATGGCTCTTGGGTGTCCCGTAGTAGCTCGACATATCCCCGGAAATGTAGACCTCATTGAGCATGAAAAGACGGGTTTACTCTATGACTCACAAGAGGTAATATATTTTTTCATGTAAAATTAGATATTTTCACTCTCGTTTGAACCATTTTAATCAATAATTCGGATGGATATGGTGTTGTATATTTTTCCAGTCAAATAAAGTTTAACGGGGGACTAATCAACCCTTTCTTATTTTTCAAGGCTGGAGGTGGGAGTATTTACCACATTCTGCCATTGCTATGATTTCATTTAGGGTAACAGAGCTGTTGAGACGTTTCGTGATAGTCCAATTGCTGGATATCGTAGATTAGTAAATTTTTGAAAACGGTTTGCTTTAGGTTTGTTCAAACAATGATCGTCAAAAATATTCAAGAAAGCTTTAAGCATATCTTATTAAGACGCTAATAATGTTACTGTGGAAACTATTAGTAGAGGAGTATACTGCCATCGTGATGGAGGCCAGGGAATGTCTAATGATAATGATATGAGAAAAAGTTTTAGCTGGTTTCTATCATGTACTTGTTCCAGTTTGGCTACGTTTGACGATAAAATGCAATCAAAAATGTGTTTTATGATAACACTAGGTGTACTGCGAAGCCTTTTAATGGAACGATTTGTTTAAAGCGAAAATAACCCTGCTTAATTTAAATTTTTGAATAAGCACACGGAGTGAATTTATTGTTCAAATTGATGTGATAATTTCTACATTGTCTAGGGTCTCAAGGAGTGCTTCGAAAGGCTCCTAGATGATCACAAACTCCGCAGTTTAATCTCCAGAAATGCGCGAATGAAATCCCGAGATGCACTTCAATATCACAAAGAGGCAAACAGCTACCTCAATCTTATAGACGAGATCCTCAGACATGATATTTAAATACTTCTCGTTTTAACCATTTTGTTCACTCCGCAAATTGTTTTTAAAATTGTAAGTGCACTTAGTAAAGGTCTATATATAACAATATAAGGTAATAGCTAATCGCAATACTGTATAGAATAATTCCATTTTCATAGTAGCAATGTTGTTTGGTACTGATAAACATGTTGAGCCAAAAATCCTCCAATCCTATACAACGATAGTAGAAGGAAGATGTCGACTAAGCAAACACTTCTTAGACAGAATGTAATGGGTGCTCATCCAAATGAGCGAAAATACTTCCAGCCAAGCATTACAACTTTTAGGATAGGTAAAATATTATTGTAGATAATCATATACAGAACAGATCATATAATTTATTAGATGTCGTATCACTTGGCATGGTCCTTAAATAAATGAACTAATTATTAGTTTTTCTTTGAATTTAACAACCCTTGTAAACCTTCCTTTGAGAAAGCCTTGAAAGCTTAAACACGAGACTGGTGATAACAATTCGCTAATCTATTACTCACATAAAATAACGGATACCTACAACAGGCTTCGGTCGGGATATAGATACGCTCTCTCTCAGTTACAACAGATATTTATGTAACCAAAGGCGGGGTGTGCACCCTGGGCAACGTATACTCACACGGCAAAAAAGTCCTGCACCCTGGGCAACGTATACTCATACGGCAAAAAAATCTTTTAATTGGCAGTTGACTTCTGACTTCAAACTACAATGACCATACTGTATGTCATATTCGATTCCTTCCACATTACTCTTCTAGCCTTTTCCCTGCCTTTGTGTCTGTCTGCCTTTCACAACTGTGAATTGCTCTTCTTTTTTCCTGTCGAATTTTTCTCCCATAAATGTTCTTTCCTT